AAATGTTTGTATTTTCAAATTTTATTAGCTTCTTGTGTTTGTATAAGATAATTGTAATTTAAAAAATTTTGTAATTATAATTTTCGTTTTTTCTTCAATCATTCAATTAGTCATATATTATTTGGGGTCCTCACCAAAGCGAGGCCTTAGACGCCTTTGCCGCCTATAGTCAGGGCCAGCCCTGTGTTTTCTATAAAAAGTTTCCCTGCGGCCCAAGTGTTGACGAAAATTGAGTGGACAGTTGAAAGTTCTTTTTCTAAATTGATGTTTATTAAAATGAGTTAGTTTAAAGATATTCTTGATTTTTACGTGATTTAGTTTGAAGATATTCTTGATTTTGTATGTATTTGTGGAGTTTTTCCATTATTATTCGTTGAAGTTCTTTTAAAGGATAGTGTTACATGTACAAAGTCTAAATTGTTTTATATATCAATCGAAATTGTTCTAGACAATAAAGTTATATTTTCAAAGTGAAGATCATGTGTAATGAATTCATGAGGACAATCGAGGGGGTGTTTGAGCCTCATTATTTTTGAAAAATGTATTTTGGAATAATAGATTGATGAAGAATGCGTCTTTAAAAAAGAATGAATTTTTTTGATTTGCATGCAATATTATTTTAATGAAAAATGTGTGGTTGAAAAGAAGAAAGAAAAATATATTTTGGGAAAAATAAGAATCAAACATCTCATGAATGTTTGAATATGAGACCGGCTTTATTATTCTTATCATTTAATGTCATATCACACGGAGATCATCATCAATTATACATATAGTGTTGACCCCGAAAAAAATAACGCAAATGTGGACAACAAATGTTGGCCCACTTTCGCCAATTCAAGCAAGTTCCGACACGTTTTGACCGAAGGATCGGTGAGAGAAAGAGAACACGTGGAACGTGGGAGATGCTTTAAGGCACAAGACAAAAGTATTCGAGCACCAACGATAGTGATTAGGATGATTGCACTAACAAACAATCACCAATAAAGTGTAAATAATTTAGGATCAAACTAACAAATATATAACAAGCAAGAAGTATTTTTAAGAGTATTTGTTTTGAGTGTTTTCTTGTATATTAGAATCGGTCTTCAAATGACAAACCCACAAATCAAAGATCCAAAAGCCCTTTACCATTTACAAAGACCGCCTATTTATAGTGTTTTGATCGACGTAATGTCCGTTGAATCAGAACCACGTTGCATCTTCTTCTAGACTGAAACCTCACACCATTAAGCATACCATACAATAAATATATTGACAATGGGTCAGCCACCCTATACATTAGGTGACACACCTGACATTCTTTATTACAAACGTTACATCAATCATTTCTAAAGAATATCTATAGATTTTGTAAGAGACAACTTCAGTTTCAAGGACTTCGGATGAACTAAGGGCTTCTGCCGGAGGGAGCTTCTATTGGTGGTCTTCTATGTGAAGAGCTTGACTTCTTCATTGATTTCTTATGTAGCACTTCGGCTTATAGCTTCAACCATTCGGGTAGTGTTTCGACATATGAGATTCAGCCTTTGCTTAACTTCTTTGCATTTGACCAATTAGGTCTTTGTTGACTTTCCTTTCCACGCGGATTGCGACATGACACTTTGACTGGAGTCTTGATGGCGAGACATAACATATAGCATTACTATCTTCTAAATCTATCGAATATAATAGTTGAAGTGGTTAAATCAATATCATCCTTTCTTTTATTGAATTTTTTTTTTTTTTTAAAAAAAACATCAACACATTAAGCCATTGTTTTGTACCCATTATTTTCAAAATACAATTTTCTCTTTTTTATTTCAATCACACATTTTTCAATAAAATAATATTACAAACAACCCAAAAATTTCCTTAGTTTTTAACTCCAACAAAATATTATTCAAAAATACATTTTGAACAAAAAAAGGGACTCGAAAATAAGTTTCATTATTTTCCTTTTTATAAGAAAAAAATTGTTGGAGTTTGACCCCACATCATTAAACCAAATTCTCAGGCTCAGCATCACTAACTCTTCCTTCCACAAGTGGAACTAGCTCGCCTACACCCTTCTCTTCATTCACAAACACAGCATCTATTTTGCTCACATTGCATGAAGTATAACAATAGGCGTAGTTGCAGAAAGAGTCATGAATAGATGAATGGAAGCATAAGTAAAGATCAGCTCGATTGATGTTATCATAAACAACAGAAACAACAAAATTCGCTTGTCAATGACCTTATGAAGCACAATAGAAATGGGCAAAGCATGCAATATAAAAAAGTATATAAAGGTCGCTTCTGTCATGCCTACCAGAGGGATCAATGAAACCTTGCGCCGTGGCATAAAGATTATGAAGAGAACAGTACATACAAATATTGCATAGTAGAATAAAAAAAAAAAAAAAACATCAACACATTAAGCCATTGTTTTGTACCCGTTATTTTCAAAATACAATTTTCTCTTTTATATTTCAATCACACATTTTTCAATAAAATAATATTACAAACAACCCAAAAATTTCCTTAGTTTTTAACTCCAACAAAATATTATTCAAAAATACATTTTGAACAAAAAAGGGGACTCGAAAATAAGTTTCATTATTTTCCTTTTTATAAGAAAAAAATTGTTGGAGTTTGACCCCACATCATTAAACCAAATTCTCAGGCTCAGCATCACTAACTCTTCGTTCCACAAGTGGAACTAGCTCGCCTACACCCTTCTCTTCATTCACAAACACATCATCTATTTTGCTCACATTGCATGAAGTATAACAATAGGCGTAGTTGCAAAAAGAGTCATGAATAGATGAATGGAAGCATAAGTAAAGATCAGCTCGATTGATGTTATCATAAACAACAGAAACAACAAAATTCGCTTGTTAATGACCTTATGAAGCAAAATAGAAGTGGGCAAAGCATGCAATATAAAAAAGTATATAAAGGTCGCTTCTGTCATGGCTACCAGAGGGATCAATGAAACCTTGCGCCGTGGCATAAAGATTATGAAGAGAACATTACATACAAATATTGCATAGTAGAAACTGAATTTCTCCCAAGTTCTTGATGATTCCAACTGCTGCTGATTTAGGGGTAGAAGGGATATCAAAAGGACGTGAATTTGAAGCTGTTAAAAATATTTTTGAGTCGATTCCTCATATTCATCATCCTAGGAGATGGAGAAGTGGTGGCTGCCCTGTGTGTGGTGGTGCCATACCTAGCCATTGTTGAGCTGAAAGGTGTGGCGTTTGAAGAAAATAAGTGTTGATATAAACTGTGGCAGAAATAAGTCTCTGAAGGCCAACGTAGGGAAGCCGATCGTGAAGTTATTGGACGGCCCATCGATGGTGGTTCTAGTCGCCGATGAGAGGAACTACCAGTACGAGGTCGAAGATTCGAAGCAGCCGGTGAGATTCTTAGTTGTCGGCGACCGTGATTTGGAGAGTGTGCTTAAGTTTTTTTTTTTTTTTTGTTTTCGAGGAAGGTTGGAGATGGGAGTGGTAGCAACGATGTTAAGGCCGATTGATGAGTTTGGCGGCGGAGTGGTATGATTTTGGATCGGTGGTGTGGTTTTTTTTTTTTTTTGCAGTTTGGCGACAGTTAGCAGTTTAGGTTTTGTAGTTTAGCAGTGTTTTGGACGTGAATTGAGGATGAAAGCCAAGTTTGGCTCTGATACCAATTTGATGTATGATGAGAAAGAAGAAGAAGAGGAGGAGCGAGAAGAAGACGTGGCAATGCCAAACTCAAATTTTATTCAATCATCGACTGTCTAAATTGTAATGTAAAACTGTTTAAATAGCGAAAACCTAGGTAATTGACGGATTTGGGCTAACCCACTAATACAAGCTCATTAACAATAAAATTAGAAAACATAAATAAATAAGGTCCAATAACAATAAAAGTAAATCCTAATAATAATGAAATAAATCCCGATGATCCAATGATATCCGCATCAAAAAGTTATCATCGATGATATGAATAATACTATATGTACATTCTCCTTGATACCTTCACTGACATTCTCTCCTACGTGAAAAAAATCTGGGCAGTGATGTGATGGTTGACAAAATCAATGGTGTAGATGTAGCCATATCGAAGAATGTAAACCTTGATGTCAATCACAATGTATGTGTAGCATGGTTGTCAATTATATAATGTTGCCAAGGATCGTGCTACTCTGCCCAAGCCACATGGATGTGGCCCTAGCAGTACTAGGGGGCCCCCGGCAGAGTGGATAGACCCTGTTGCCAATGGCAATAAGTCATAGTCAATTTTGGACTTTCTCCATCTTTGCTTTACAGAAAATTAAAAAAGGAAGAAAAGTAATATGTCTACATCAATATGCCTAACAAAGAACAAGAATGTTCAAAGTAATTTCTTAACCATACAGAAAAAAACATGAAATTTAGTTTTCTAGATAATTAAAATTTTTACTGCAATATATTTGCAAGAAACAATTATCTGTCAACAAAGATGTTCCTTCATTTAGTACATCAAGTTTTATATTTGAACACTTGAACACGAAATTGTTATTAACAGATTAGGTCATGCTTCAAGCATATTGAAAACCTTCTTTTTCTTTAATAAATATATCACTACATACTCCTAAAGCACACATTCATATGGACGATATAAATTGAACATGGTGATACCAGCTATAGAACAAAAAATTTATGTCAATAACCTCATTTGCTATATTGGCAAAAGTGACCTAATTACCGTATGTCCCTTGGTTTAGGTGCATTTTCAACTCAAAGTCTTGTGTTACAAGCAATGCATGATTTTCGAGTGTTTCTCAAGGTACACAATGCTAAAATTCAAATGTAGTACAAATTTTGAATAGATCTCGAGCTCTATGCAGAGTGTCAAAACTAGGAAGATATTGGTCTTGTAAAGCTCTAAACGACTATCAATCTCAAAGATACCACATTTTTTACGCAGAGCCACATGCTAGAGTTTCCATTAAATTTTCAGAAGTGACTGCTTATTCCACATGTTTCTTACCAACCACTATAAATCTCTTCACATAGTAATTATCATCATGGCCAGCTTATGTGGATTATTTTTATCATTTCCATGGATATTTATATATGGGAGGAAATCAAGCATGAAGATTAGCCCTGGAGAAACCCTTTGTAATAAATAGACATTTGTAACCACTGATATCAGAATGTTCGTTGCCAGGGGCTGAGCCAGCACCCGACGAGCCAAGTTTGCTACAAAATCAGAAAGGAATAGAAATCTAAAAGAAATTGAGCAATCAATATACAAGAGAATAAAACTCTAGAACATCGTAAGATATAATTGATAGAAGAAAGTTGAAAAAATGGAATCCACATTTATTGTGACCAGGCCAAGCTTATTTGTTCAAAACAGGGCGAACTAGCGACATGTAGATATTGGATAGACAGCTAGTAGTGTCATACGCGCATAAACAAACCTTATTAAAGAAGAGTTGTAGAATAAGGGAAAAGGGTGAGAGAACAGAAGAGGGGAAGGAGAGAAAAAGGAGAGAGAGAGAGAGAGACAAGACGAGAGAAAATCTGTCTTAATACCAAGTGATAAAGCTCTTCTTAGTTTCATCGTTACATTCATCTTAATACTGTGACTTTTTGTCTGTCTACAGCTCAATGTTGAGCAGCTTCATTGGTTGAATGTCACATTGAATTTTGCGTTTAGTTTTATATTTTCATTAACTGGAATGGAATCATCCATGGAGGGATCAATTATAATTGCACATGTTAGCTNGGGATCAATTATAATTGCACGTGTTAGCTGATTTGATTGATATAAAATCAAATGTTTGGTCTCATTTATATATCGGAAATTACAGAGTACACTTCTCTTTCTATGCATGTGATGCCAAGCTCTAAACAAGTGAATCACCAAAGGGTATCACAATCTTTTCGACAATCACACTCTAATCTACTTATTACACTAAGTAATTACAGTGATCATACAAAAACTAAGCACAAAGCACTTTTAGAGAGACAAAAAGAATGAGCACAAGTTTTCTTGTAGAGAAAACAGGGGATTCAAATGAATGAAACCTTAAAAGTGACAAAAGACTCCATTGTATTCTCGCATACAACGACAAGGATGCATTCTTGAAGTTCAATTGTAAACAACACATATGAGACAAAAAAAAGTGTTTGGCCACTCTTATGAAAGTGTTTCTTATAATTAGAAGAGATTCTAGAAGAACTTGAACCAATGTGACTTCATCTAAACGAACTTCTTGAATAAAAATCTCTTCTAGTAATTAGTCTCAAACAAAAATTAATCAATCAGGAAGCAAAAAAACAAAAAAGGCCATGCTAAACGGAGCTTTAAGCAACTCTTGAATTTGCTTTAAGGGGAATATTTTTGTCCCCACATTTTCTAGATTAACTGTTTGGGGATCTTTTTCAAGTTAACCAATCATTTTACTACTACATCTCTCATACAATGTAGCTTAACTATCCACATGTTTTGTATGTACATAGAATATATGGTTATTCCATAATAGAATTACGGGTTGGCTATCAAAATACAATGGCATTATCTTGCAAGTATCCTAACTCTTTCAACCTAAGAACTTCCATTGTTAGCTAGAATCATCGACACTTTGAATTACAATCTCTTTTGAAATGATATCCAGTATAATGAACTTTTGACATTATCGAATGCACATTATTCATTCATGCGCAAAATAATGAAAGCAAGATCCAGCACATCATAAAATAGCCTTCGATCATTATTCAAATTCTTAGTGTATATACATATGATCACATACATCGCTGAGCATTCACTCATATAATATTGCATTATAAGCGTAATAATACATGTACTAGATGTTTGTATAATCTCCTAGATAACACGACAACTTTGCATTGATACCTAACTGTGATTCAATAGACCTATCACTAAGGAAGATCGAAAAGGTTATAGATTTTAGATTTTGAAAATAGTTGACTGTACAATATAAATTTACCCCCAACGACATTTCACTCTCTATTTTACGTAAATATTTTATATAACTCTAAACCCTAATTATATTTTATTTTAGATATATTAAGCAAAGGATTTAAAAGTTAAATACCTACGTTCGTCGCAAATGCCATATCAATCGTACAATAATATGAACATTTCTGAAAAAAGAATAATTTAAACTCTTCTCATGTAATTTTGAACATTTTTCCTTAAATAGCTAGATCACTGTTTGACAATCATTAAAAATAGATTTTTGAAAAAAATGATTTTTTGAATAGTGATTTTTTTTTAAAGAATGTGTGAAAACAAGAATTTTATAAAAATGGTTGTCAAATGGGGGCTAAACCTTTTTTATATTCCACCAACCAATAACAATTTCCATCAACTTCCCCTACTACTTGTCAATTTCAATTGGCAATTTACTAGCCATCTCCACATTACCGAATTTTCATTTTCTCTATTGGCGGCGGCGCTCGAAGGTACGGTCAACCATCTGGATCTCTAAAATTGACGTGATTTTATTTCGAATTTTTTCGTTATGGAACTTCGTATGGTTGTTATGCTATTTGATGCGGAGATGTAATCATTAATTGGTGAGGTTTTTATGCCATTGCATAGAATCGTGGCCACCGGGGGCTTCGTCTTCGTGTGTGCCTGTGTGGAAATATTGGCTGCACTGCACTAAATCTCTAATAGTTTTATAGTAGATGGCAATGTTTGATGGCTTATGCAATCAAATTGTTGTGCCTCGTTTTGTGATTACGTGGGATCTCCAACTGTTTGATAAAATGTCCATTAGAAAATGCTTCACTTAAATTGCAAATATTCATCCTTAATCCTTTCCGTGTTTTCTACTGCATACGTATTCCATAATTATCTCTATGTAGTGTTTTATTTTCAGACAATGTTAACGCATTATGCAATTGATAGAAGTATATGGTTGAAAATTTGTAGTCTATCTTGACTATATTTGTTCAGACTGACTGAATCCTCTAGCTTTTGATAATAAATTAGTCAAGAGACTCAGCACTTCATCAATTTACTCTTATTTTTCTTGGCTGCACCAACATACAGGATTCCAGCTTCTATCGTATCTATATTCAACATCCCATGAGTTTTGTGGTGGATTGACGTTGCAGTATTTGGTTTTCACCTGCTAAGATATCTCGATGCAATGCATGTTTAGTATCAAGCTGATTAGTTAAAAAAATTGGATGGCCTGTTCCTTAAAAGATTAGATTTGTGTAGATTCAAATTGGGAAAATTCCCCTATTTGACAACCATTTAAACGAAACTCGTTTTTTCTTGAACTTTTTTTCGACTATACGTTCTCACGATAAAATATTTTGTACATATATTCAAAATATTTTTCTACTTTTTTACTACACATCCTCCAAAAAATCACTATTCCAAAAATTATTTTTCAAAAAATAAAATAAAATAATAAATAACTCTTTTTAATGATTGTCAAATAAGGGCTAAATGTCATTGTGATTTCTCTGGGTAGTCATAAAATATGGAACTATAGGTAACATCTCTTGCCTTCATATTAATATCATAAAACATTGTTCTAAAAGGCATAATGAATAAAAAAAGGTAAAAAGGCGTTTCTTATTTTAATATTATTTTAATTTTTAATCAATCAAAAAATCATTTAATAATTAAAAAATAATACCTATCAAACATCTAAAACAGATTTATAGAAACTTTACACATTTTTTTCAAAAGTTTCCAATAAAAAAATAAGTTTCAAATTTAAATCAACATTTAAGTTTTACCTTAAAAGAATTGTTAAAAAAAAGAAAAGAAAAGATAATAATGCCCTCCTAATCACGCCTAGGCGCGCATTAACGGTCAACAATTGCCGTTCGGATGATGTAGTAGGAACACCTCGCTTTTTAGGAAATGTTTGCATGTGCGTCTAATCTTTGGTCAGTGGGAATCTCGAATACAGTACTTGGTCAGCATATGTGTGAGGTCCTCCGATTTAATTTTCATTTTTGTTTTTAATTTTGTTATTGAAATAATTATCTTTTCAGTTTTCCGATGGGACAAGCACAGAGTGCTGCTATTGTAGAAGATGAAAGCAATCCACAAACACAGTCAGAGTCTGCTGGGATCGACAATGCAGCTCAGCCATCACTCGATTCGTTGATTGCTGAAGCTGCAGCATACGGTGCTGAGGATGAAAATCAATCTCTCGAAGTGAAGGCTCAGAAAGCACTGGAATGCCCTTGCATTGCTCACTTGCGAAGTGGCTCATGTGGAATCCAGTTCTCTGATGCCTTCGTTTGTTTTCTCAAGAGCACAGCTGAAGAAAAGGGAGCAGACTGTGTGCATCCATTTGTGTCTCTACAGAACTGTATCAAAGCAAATCCTGATGCATTTTCGAAGGACATTTTAGAAGATGATGAAGTCGAGAAAGAGGAAAAGTCAAGCAAGGAGTATTCAATTAGGCCTCCTATTTGGTCTGCCGATTCAAAAAATCCAAACAGGTAGCTTTGGGGAGATCAAATTATCTTTCTTTCATCCAAGGTTCCCTCACCTTTATTCCCTTACTGGGTTTATAAACTTTTTACAGGCATAATGACAAGAAAAATTAACCTGTTATTGCAAGAAGCTTTTTCCCAGGAAAGCTTCATCTTTATTGAGCAAGTAGAAATAGCTTTGCAGTCGGAAGACAGATTCTGGCTGCTTTTAGTTTTTCATTTTACGTTTTTAATTGTTCATTTGGGGATGTGCTTTCGATGTATGGATTCCATATTTCTGTAGTATTTCGTCAAGTTTTTTACGAATATAAGATGTATCTTTGCTTCATCTGAAGAGTCGGGTCCTTGAATTTTGTTATATTGCTTGCAGATTTTGTTGCTCATATAAATTTCTTAGGTGATTGACTTCTGTTCTTAAACTTGATGGTAAGCTATATGTTCTTTTTGGAGAGCATTTCCGATTTCTTTTCTAAATTTGTATTGCAATATAATCGACCGGACAAGTTGACAAGTTGGATTTTTTTTTATTGGATTTTAATCTGAACCCGTTTCAAGGTGGCTAAAAAGTTTTACCAATTTAGTTCATAAGTAGACACGCTAACCCAAGGTGATCGTATAATTATAATCAAAATATGTTTTTTGCTAAAACGCAAAGGAATTCTTTGTTAACAACTTTTGAGATTAAGAATTGACGAGGACAATAATAATTTTAGTGCTTCACAGGAATAACAAATTCTTCATTTACAAAAATAGAATAACAGCTTAAAATAACAAAACATATTATATTTGTGGAGAAGTACGTTCTTTTGGTGTAAAAGAAAAGTTGAGGGAGAATAATTTTCAAATAAGCTGCGTCAAACAAATACAATGACACGAAAAAGCAAGAAACACATAATTGTAAATCTTTCAAGGACCGTGCTACATGTACCGAATTTTTTACCTAACCTCTTACTGATTACTTACAATAGGACCTTGCTACTTGTACAAAAGAATTTGTACAAAAATGTTGACAAACTCTCATATGTGGGGGGGCCCACTTTTTATTTTCAATTTTTTATTCATGTGGGGCCGGCAATCATGTGAGTGTTTGTCAACATTTTTGTCAAATTCTTTTTGTACAAATAGCTTTATTCCTTACAATAGGGGGGCTGTGACCACATCTTAGGATTTTTTTATTCACTCGGGGCCCTCGTGCATGTGAGAGGGGGTAATCACTTCGGTACATTAAATTATGTACAAATATCCTTACCCATCTTTCAATTATGGTCCACGATTCAAGAATTTGTTACCTCCTATAGCTAAACTCTCTTCTGAAGGTACTAAAAATGGCGAACAAGTAGGCAGCATGAGAACTCTACTGATAACATGGATGCGATAAGTATGGCTAAGAACCTTCTTCAACATGTAGAATCAAGCATGTTAAGGCAGATGCTGAATTGATAATCATCAAAACTACCTTCGAGAAACCAATGCTGACTAAAGATTGCCTAAACAACAACTCTAGGTCTTTGTACATAAATTGGGAATGTTGGACATCTTTTAGAACCCATTTGGCAGGACTTTTGAAAAGTCGAAGTTACTTCTGATTTATGAGACTAAGAAGCCAATTTTGAACACGTATGTGTGGATAATTTTTTGATAGTGTTAGAAGCAACTGGCCAAAAATAACTTCCTCAAGAAGGCAGTAAGCACTTCTAAAAATAGCAGAAATAATGTTAAACGGACATTTAATTAGTTTAAGCCCCCGTTTGGGCCACCTTATTTTCTCATTAAAATGAAAAATATGATCGTTATCCATCACATTAAAGCCCGTTTGGTCCACGTTATTTTTTTCATTCTCATTCTTCTACTCATTTTCAACGATACATGTTTTCTTTATTTCTTCGCATATTAATGTGATTATGCCCCCGTTTGGACCACTTTTTTATCTCATTAATTTGAAAAATATGATCGTTATCCATCACATTAAAGCCCGTTTGGTCCACGTTATTTTTTTCATTCTCATTCTTCTACTCATTTTCAACGATACATTCTTCAATAAAATAATATTTTCCATCACAACAATAATTTTTCCTTATTTTTCAACCACATATTCTCCATCACATCAACAGTAAAAATGCATTCTTACTTTCAAAATGTGCACCAAACGGGGGCTAACATTTAAATTCAAAATTTCTATTTTTTGTGTAAATCCCAATAACGACTATATTTTTCATTCTCACTCTACAAAAAGGTGGCTCAAACAAGGCCTAAAAAGGACTTCTCAGGAATCTACTCTAAATTAGCATAGCATATGATTAGATGCAAGTGAATAAGCGAGGGGGCTCGTGCCTTTCCCGATTAGCCCGAATGGAGAGGTCATTTTTGGAAGAGAAAGTGTGTGTTTTTCGAAAAAGGTCGAATTTGTAAAATACATATGCTTGTCAGCTTGTGACAAGTAAGATAAGTAGACCAGAAGTAAATTTCATTATTCTGTTGTCTTGTTTCTTAGTTTTAAGTCAATTTCTCAGCTGTATATAGACTAATAAAAGAAGAAAGAATGGCTGTCTTCCACATTCATTTCTCAACTTCCATAATATTTTCCCAAACCAATAAAACACATCCATTCACTTCATCAAGCATTGATTTTTAAAGAGTTCAAGTGGATATTCCCCATAAACCCTAAAACCATATCGAGATCCCAATTAATCCAGAGAAAGGGCTTAACTTTCAGCTCCAAAATCTCATGCCAAGGGAAAAATTACTTCAACTTAGCCCCACGAAGAAACATAAAAGGAGAATCAGAAGATAAAAACTACAAATCCAATACATTTCGTCAATATTTGGCCCACATTTCTAAAACTTATTTTTTTTCAAATTCATTTTCAACTACACATTTCATGGAATTCACAACTTTTATCAGCTTTTCAATCACACATTTTATCGATTTTTATCAAAATCTACTAAAAATCTGATTTCTAGCTAAACAAGACTCATTTTAATTTACTTATGCAGATGTAAAAATAAATACTAAAAACATTATTCAAGCAAACTCAGTCATATATAATTTAACAGAACTTGGTACGAATTCTTTTAACATCTATGCTCTAGAATGAGGTGAAACACTCGTGATCGGAGGAATTTGAATCGTCGCAAGGGGAATGGTTATGTCTACCTTCATACGTTGTTATTACCATCCGACGATCCTCTGAAAGCCTTTCGACCCTTTTCTTGACTCGACAATTGCTATGAGTACATCTGTAGTAACTCCTGCAAGATCACAACATGGAGAAATCTTCAGTTTATCAATGAAATAGTAAGTTAAATCAAGAAAGAAAGGAGACACAGCGGGTACTAGGCTGCTTATTTAGGACTTAGAAACTCCGCATATGTCAACGGGCAATAGCTGTCACGTTGAGATATACGTTTTTGAGATTTAATACTTGTTGTAATACTAAGATTTTCACAAAAGACCACACAGAAACACAAACACGTACAACCTTTGATCTGCTATAAGGCAATACAACAACTAAGATTTCAGTTTCTTTTTTCATAATCTTGTTTCCTGCTGGACTAAGTCCACCACTCGGAGCATACTATAAAATGAAATAATACGTCATACGAACTAATTTGAACGAGAAAAGATCTTTAGGTTTATTGCATGAATTTGAAGGGCATCCAAATGTAGGATAGAGTAGAGGATAACGCAAAAATATATTTCATTAGATAATTGAGACAAATACTTGGCACCTTTTTGATCTACCTATTTATTCGTTTTCGTTTATGAAGTATATATATATATATCAAAAGCCAAGATGTATTCTCAATAAATTAGGGGTTGATTTCATGAATCGTTTTTTGCCATTACATTTGATCCAATCCTACATCTACTTCTAGTGAAGTTTATGATAAAATCAAATGTTTCGCAAGTAATCTAAATCTCTCTTTTCAAAATGTTCCATTGAAATGCAATGGACATAAGCACTTCTGTAGGTTCACTCAACACATACTATAACCAAGTAATCGCCCTAATAATTTATCTTCAATTGATGCCACCTCCACTTGTTGAAATTTACCACCGTTTCTTATTTTATCCATTCTAATAATGTTGCACGCGCACAGAGGTTCTCTTTATTCCATTATTTTAACTTTCCCCATAGTCTGAGACTTTGAAATTTCTCACATTTCTTACATTATGGATGGACTTCAACCTACCTAGTAAGTAGATCAATACTTAAATCAGTTTGTTTGATTTATGATGGAAAAGATCATGCCTTTCAACCATTTTTCCATCATAGAATAGAGAAAAGTAATCTGATCATGAAGTGTTAATAGCTCTAGCTGAAATATGAGAACTTCATGCTTAGTTATAATTAATATAGATTAATTCTATTAATTTCAATTTTCATTTTCATTTTAGTGAGATTACACGTGTACAATGGGTGTGGTGGGGGGGGGGGGGGGGGGGGGGG